TGCCACTACAGCTTGAGCACAAGAGTCTTGTATGCCATATGTCATACCAAAACACGTGTCGTGTGTATCTATATATACAATTATATATGTATACAATACATATAACTACATATAACTAGTACAAACATATATATATGCCAATCTACTGTAATGTACTGTACACGCAGGACTGTCGCTTTCATGGTAGCATACCTAAGAGTCAAGATATCATATATATATATCTATCTACCATGGGTATTCTGGCACAGCTGCGTGGTTTTGAGCACGTCAAGGATCCCATTACTGCACAAAAGAACAATCCTATGAATTGGTTGCACTACACAAGTAAGAAGTCCGCCCTGCCCAAACAGAATGTACCGCATAAATGTTTTCCAGGCCACCACAGGCGGTTTCCCAGCGCCACATTTGCCAGACTGCGGAAGCAAGGGCAGTTCGAGACAAGGCTGAAACATTTGCCGTCGGTTTCTCATTCATGTTCGAGTTGCTTCCTTCAAACGAACGGCGCCTCACCGGAACAGTTGCACGCACCCATGTCTGCAGCGCACCTTAGCTCTTGGCACGTGCCAACACGCACATCGACGTAAGGATTCACCACACCTTCCCGAACAACAAGTGTTCCAAAAACATCCGGCGACTGGTTTCTCAGGTCCGAACAGCCGCAGTCAGCACCATCGCCAGGTTTTCATGCCCATGATTCTACACCATGAAAAAATTAGCATTCAAAGCTGCAGCCAAAAAAGGCAAAGCGTTCCCACACTCAGACCCTTCATCAGAAATGTGTTTGGCAAAATTTTTGGGGTACCAGTTGTTGATATCAAGTAAGCTTTGCCTTGCTCTCCCTCCATCCATCCCTCCCTTTTTCTCGTCTTTTATTGTTTTATCTTTCTCTCTCTCTCTCTCTCTCTCCCTCTCTCTCATTCTCTCTGTTGAATGACAGATCTTGGATGCCTCAAAGTACTCATCCCCCTCCCCTGCTGTTTACTGGAGACAGCCGTACAATCTATATTGAATATAACTCTAACTGTTCACTGACTGTTCACTGAGCATGACCAACCCAGGAAGTTGTCCAATCCCGTTTTCAAGTAAACGGAAGGCAAGATGCAATCGGGCTCACCCTTGCAAAGTGCAATACATAGAGCTAGAAATTCCACTAGACCTGCGTGGTTTTCCTTTCATACGCAAGCATTCGCTTCCGACGCAATCCAGGCCACATCCATATTAGAAAGGTTGAACCGCAGACCTTGTTCATGGTTGCTGGCGGTAAGCTTGACTGTTTCACTCCTTTTGTACAAGCGCTTGCCACTTTCAAAGCAGAAAGCTTAGTTTTTTCATGTTTTTTCCGCGCCGTCTCCGCCCAAAGTTACTGCTCACGTGGCTTCTCGATGGCACAAATCCCAGCGACGACAGCGCTTCGGGAGTACCATAGATGGAAGACGCTGGTATCCAGCAAGGTGGCCCCCAGAAGGTCCAATTGGGTTATGCGAGGAAGGCACTTTTTGCACTCATCTTCTGTTCAACCTGGATTGGTCTCAAACTGAAAGAGGTCACAGACATACTGGCGGTTTTGCGCAACCTTCTATCTTGGCAACTCTTTTCTTCATTCATCCAGTACTGAAACCTCTCAAAAGCCGTTGAGTGAGTTCATCAGCAAGACACACACACACACACACGTTTTTCCTTTTTCGCTTCACGTCTTCTCCGCCTTCATGTCCTGTCATCTCACTCCGTTGCTTCTTTTGCGCGCACATCGGTCCGGCCCTTAGCATGCACGCGCACATTTACATTCAACCCAGGTTTCAGGTCACCCAGGTCTTGATAATGAGGCATGGTTCACTGGTTGTCCCTGTGCATTTGGTTTCCCCGTCTTTGCAACCACTCACACACTTGTCTTGTCGCGTCTCCTCTTCGTGTCTTCGTCTTTTTGTCCTTTTTGCGCGCAAATGCAGATTAGTCTGCCCCTTAGCTTTTGGGCCCTCCCACGCAGGGGAGTGCGAAACCCTTGGAGTCGCAGCGCCGCGCGCCAACGAAGCTATGCGCGATCATGGAAGCCAGGTCTGATCAACCTGGTGTACCTCACTCCTAGAGTCTTGGGGGCTGTTTCAAGTTGAAGAGGTCGTGATGCAGTACAATGCCAACGCATCCTGCCGATGTGAGCGCCCGTCGTCGACCAGCCGCTTCGCGACTTTCGGGGTTGTGCTTTGAGCGATTGAACACATTGGGCCTCCTCCCTTTCAGCGAGAACTCCAAGATGCTCAGAACCACATACATGTTTTTCAGGATTGTGGTTTACCTAGTTCGCCGTGCGGCGAGTGGCTTTCATTTCCGTCTGCATTTTGCAACTGCGTGACACTGTAGACGATCGTTCAGCAGCTCACGGGCGTTTCAGTTTCAGCTTCTTCTTCCTCTTCTTCCTCTTCTTCTTCTTCTTCTTCTTCTTCGTCTTCTTCTTCGTCTTCTTCTTCGTCCTCTTCTTCTTCCCAACTCACAGTACAGTCACGCAGTGTGTTTCTTGTTTCGTCGTCCGTATTGGCTTCGAGAATCCACCAAACACCTTTGCGCTTGACACTTGAAGGTCTAAAGAAAAATCGAGAACCACGAGTACACAGGGTCAGGCTTTCTAAGTGCTTTACCAACTTGAGCATGACCATTGGCATATTGACACGACCAGACTTATGCTCAACACACTCAAGGAAGTTTCGGCGATCTTGGTCAACAACCGGCGTCCCTCTTCCATCTTCGACCTTGAGGAGGCAGTGCACCATGGCAATGTCACTCTCCAGCCTCAACTCTCCACAGGGTTCCGACGTTGAGGCTGTGAGGCTCCTCAAGTCTTTTGGGCTGGCTCGCTGCGCGTTGTTTCGCTTAATCTGGGACCGTGACTGGGGGCTCCGCTCCCCACCCTTCCTGCGCCGACGCGACGGGAACGCCGTCCACGCGCGCTGGAGCGGCCGGTGATGTCAAACTAGGTGGTGATTGAAGTCTCTAGCCACAATGAACACTGTGTGGGGAGCTCCAGCCCAACCCAAGCTCTTGTTCAACGATGGTCTCTGCAACTCGGTCGAGTGCGGCTGACAACCAGCTTACACACCTGTGGGGTTGGACAAGGGTCGCTAGCTCTAAGCGATCATTGGACGATGTTCAACAATGACAAAGCTGGTCTGTGTGAACGTTTCGATGACATATGCAAAGCAATGCAATCACAGCAAACGCTTGCACATGCATCTGTCTCTCCCATACACATCTTGAGCCAAAGCCCAAGTCCGTTCGCAGTCTCAACCAAGTATGAAGGGAATGCGCCATGTCATCCCGATGTCACTCAGTGCAACAGTGCAAAAGGAAAAAACTGTACATGGTGCTCAGTACTAGCTATGGTGTCATGTCACTTTTCTGTGTATATATATATATAGCCGTACTCTAGAGAATTGAATAGAATCGCAAAACGTCACGCTAGACCTTCGACACAAACCAAGTCTTTCCAGCATTACCATTGTTTCATTCCTGAAAAGCATTACTGGTTTATATAATTCACAACCAACGTCGGGATGTCTCTATCTTGATTCACCTCAATGTGAACAAGCAACAACTATGCTTTTCTTATTTTGACCTTCCACAGGCTCGCTCCTGGATGTCATTTTTGTCAAAGCTGTTGTGAAAAAAGTGTTGAAAGGTCATTTTGTAAAGGAACAGGTTCCCTACTTCATAAAGAGTTTGTTGAGGAGGATACTATGTATAAATAGATATATAGATCAACTGTTGTCTTGCAAATATGGTTGGGTCTCCAGTGTAGAGTCCATCGGTTCCGTTCAGATCTGTCTGGCTTCACTAGGAACTCCGGCTTTGACTCTAAAAGTTCTCACTGTTTTTGCAACACCAGTGTTGCAATTGCATGCACAAACACATGAAACCTCACGAGAAAAATGCCGCTCACTGGACAAATTCAAGTTAAGCTTCCGAAAAGAAAAAGAGAATCGAACGCTTTTTCTGCATACATTATTCCAGGTCAGCGTCTTAGCAAAACCGCACACCCTCAACTTTAGCTGCTCACGTGCCACCCACACACAATAAGTAGTCCTCAGTGACTTGGGAATCTCAATGTCAAGAATAGTTATATGGAGGAGTTTGGGATGAACTCTTGCAGAAACCATGAGCACATGATGTCAGGTCTTCATCTGTCTGCTTCACTCAGTCCACGGTGCCCCCACGCGCGGTTCCAGCAGCAACGGGCATATCCTTAGGACATAGAAAAGCTTTTGCAGCTTCAGGCTGTTGTTATTTCTGAAAGGAGAGAAACTCTACATTCAGATCCTTTAGAGTCTCAGGAACTGAGGCTGCTCAGGATCCCAGGCCGAGCCATCACGATCGGAATCCCTGCGAGTACAAGGAATGGAAATTGATGTGCATCGCTTGGCAGTGTCCTAGTCCTGGCCTTGCCCTTGCCGCGATTCCTGCGCATGCCGCCAGGGCGAGGTGGACGCCGAGCGTCTCCGAAGGTTTCCCTGCAATTTGAGAATGTGCCAAACCAAGCAACGGCTACACAAAAGTGGAAAGCACATGCAAATAAACCTTTAAGATTAAAAGAGAGCAAGGAAGAAAGGAAAAGAAAAAAAGAAGTCTAAAGGTCCAGAGTCCACAGACGAGGAAAAATACTAAATGAAAGATGAAAAACACATACTTTCTTATTCTGACTACTTTATAGTACCCAGAGTTGTCAATTCATTGGTATGGCGAAGCAGCAATTGTTGGCGATGGTCAGAATGACAAGTAGTCTTCCCTGCCTGTCCATGCTGCGCATCTTGGCAACATCGGCCTAAGGTACCAGAGAAGTTGCTCTCAGGGTTCCAAAAAAGTCTTCTGTGAGAGTTCCTCGAACCCCAAAAGCCGTTCATTTCCTGCGGTTGCCGGCACTGCAAAACATGCGACAAAGGTAAGCGTTCTTTCCCACGATCTGACTCTGGCTTTGCAGGCCGCTAACTCCACAGCAAGTGCAGCTGTACTTCATCTCACTTTACAGCCAGCAGAATTTCCTTATCCTGTGTGACGCACAAACTCCCACAAGAATGGGTCCCTTGGGAAAGGATACTCTGTACTTGATCGACTTCGTCTTGTTTTGCAATTTCTCTGTTTATTCTCCTTCTGGAGTTCCTCCGAAGCATGCCACAGCCTTACTGCTCAGGTCGAGATTGAGCTTCGGAAGAGATCAAGGGGAAATAGGATCAAGCAACTATCAAAAACAAAAGTGTGTGGGAACATATGTTGTCGAATGACTGAGTTGCCAGCGCTATATGGCCCCCTTCGGCCACTGCTTCCATCACCACCTCCAGTTCGACAGTCTTGTTCATATGAGTTACCAGCTTGCCCATTCCATACAAAGAAGGCGTGCTGCAGGGCCTCTTTGTCGTTCTTCAACGTTTCGTGGGCGAAGACCAAAGCCTCGCATGCTTTCCGATATCTCTCACTCAGGATTCTCACTGAATATTCGATTGAATGCAAATACTGAAACTATCTGAAACTTGTCTTTGGTTGTGGGAGGGTGGACAGAACTTCGATGATTCAACAAAATTGAGCTTGACTCTGCTGGCGGCCACCTTACCATTCTGGCGAACTGCAGCCAGAACCACCTCTGCTCCAATGTCAACGGTAAACTGGAGACTTTTTGGCATCAACACTCTGCCTCACGGTCCTTGCGCAACTCCTCCGGGGCAAAGACCAAAACCTCTGATCAAGCTGTCATGGTGGCCAAAAGCAACCATAGCGAGCGCTGTCACGTTGTGTCTGTTTACAAATCTCCAAGCCAAGCCTTTCCATTCTGTTTTACTGCTGCCAGCACAATCTCCTGTGCAACGTCTCTCAAAAATTGGCAGAAAAGAATGATGCAAGCTGCATATCACACGTGGGTCTGGCAGAATTTGGTCCTATGGCCCTATGGACTATGTGGCGAAGGAATCATCAACCGACGGCAACACAATGATCCAAAACGAACGTGATGAGAAGATCGAGCACACCCTGTCAGCTTGCATTCGCTTGGAGGCGGTGCGCAGTGCATAACCATCAACCTGGCAAGTGTGGAAGGGAAGTTAAGGATTGGGCCAAAGAACTAGTTGTTGCTTTCTAGTACCATAATTAAATATTATAAGTATATATATATACCGTTATCCCCCAAACGCAGGAATGTCCACCTATTTTGCTAGCACTTGCAGTGTGTTTGAGACATGTGAGATGTGTTTTCAGGGGCCCCTCAATTTGCGTTGTTTGTGAAACTCTTGCACGTTATGTCAAAAGCTCAACAAAAGGACGGTAAAGGCGACCAACTCAACAACTCTCTCCAAAAGTGATAAATCTGAGCATATGCAGTGCTTGCAATCCAAAAGTGCAGAATCAACTGAGAATAAGCTCGAATTCGTCAAGGTTCGTCGAGTTTCTCATTTTGTCATTTGTGGGAAGGATTTGAATCCTGGACAAAGTTTCAAAAAAGAGCATATCCAATGTTTTTGCACCCTAGGCTTCACTGCATATGCTCGAATTTGTCAAATCTACTCTGATTGGGTAGATGCAGAATCATGGCAACGCACGACTTTGTCAAGTGCCAATTTGATTTATGCGAAGGGTTCCCTCAAAAAGATTTAGAAATTCAAGAATGTGCATTGATTTTGCACTCGGCTTCAATGCGTCTATAAAATTTGCAAAAAAAAAATTACTCGGATGGGGTAGATACAGAAACACTGTACGTATGCTCGAATGTTTTTGAGGGTTCAAGTCTTTCCCATAGACCCAAGAATTTGAGCCATTTGGGCCCCAATGAGTCTGTTTGAGATGTCATGTCAATCATAATCATATGCAGTGATTCCGTACCTCAGTCTTGCTATGATTGCATGCGCTTGCAAGTCGAAATCTTGTAAGGGCCCACGACAAGTCCTTACATGTATAAGTATATATATATATATATGTTACTCCCAAAAAAATGTTTCTGAGTCCTGGTGTTACTCCGTATGATTTTGTGATGTGCCAGAGACAGATGTTATGATATGACAGCAAGAACGTTGCAGACACATTTCTCAGACGTACTTTGCAGACGCAATTTTTCCTCGCAGTCAGACAAAATTCACTTGGCAAAGTGCCATGTGCACAAGGTAGCAGAAGCAGTCCACAGATCACAATTTCTGTGCCAGCACTGTGCACTGCGGATTCTCAACCGCAAAAGACGACTCCCTACCTGGCAATGTTGATTCAATTGAATCCGATCTTTGAGAAAGCGCCAGGCACGATCAATGATCTGGGTACCGCCTTTGGTCTTGAGTTGGCGACCAGTCTTTGGGCCCTTATGGGTAGCAATCTTCACATAAGTAGGCATTTTCCACATCCATTTGCCTTTGACCTCTACACGCTTTTTGCAGCGCCGCACCTGGTCGTGGAGAACGCCACTCACTTTCAGCTTGTACGACTTGGCGGCGTCCGTGTGGAGGACGATGGCGCGATCCTGGAGGTGCTTGGTGGCTAGAGGACGCCACTCCACCTTCCTGATTGCACCTGGACCAGGCGCTCTCCGAGCAGACGTTTGGGGAGATAACCTACGCCACACCATTGTTCCCAGATGATGGGCTGCTCGGGGTTGTCGGCCAAATGCTTCAGGTCTGTGCTTGAGAAGGTGGCTTCATCTGCCTCCACATCTGTCCAATCCTTGCCATTTCCAAAGACGATTGACTGCTCCTTCTCTTCCACCCACCCCTTGCGAAGATGATTCAGCCGCTTCTCCATATCGTCGATGGCCTTGCGGTTGAGAGCAAGAATGCGATGGATGGCAGGGTGCGACACTCGGTTGAGAAGCAGAGCAAGGCAGATCAATCCGATGTCATTTCTTCATCCGACTCCTCTAACTGGGCGCGGAGGTGTTCAATCTCTTGTTGGAGGTAAGCAATCTCAGCATTCTTGCCTTTGATGATTTCCTCGGCTTCGGCCAGCTCTGCCTGAGTGGCGTGAAGGGTGTCGAAAATTGCCTCGAACCCCTCGAACTCTTGCGTCTTTTTCTCCACCTCCGCCTTCAACCGGTTCGCCTCCGAGCCTTCATCACCGGACTCCATCGAAGATGAACTTGACGAAGAGGAGCTTGAAGAAGAACTCTTCTTATCCTTGAGCCTTGGGCGCGGAGGAGCTTGCGGAAGACTGCCCTTGCTGAATGTCTTGGATTGCCAGGGTGGCAGGAGCCTTGTTCAATATATGATTGGTCAGTAACGCCTCGAAGCGCTGCTGAGCTTCATCTGTCCAGTCTCCTGTGGCCCCCGGCTTGAGCAAGAGCTGCCGTTGAATGGTGCTCAGCGCGTTGGTGATCCATTTCTTCTGCAAGGGCAAGCGGGTAGGGTGAGCGGCCCAAGTGCCGGACGACACTTTCTCCAAGACGGTGCTCGTGGCCGGTCGCGTCATAGTGACCTTGGCCTCCTGGCCCGCCACGGGCTGCAAGTGTAGTAATGCCTGACAGTCACGGAAACGAAAGGTCGAGAGCACCAATTTGAGGGTTGCATGAGGAGCAGCTGAGTTGAAACAGATGTATGATGCATTTAGTGCCCGGCGCCTGCCCGTTGGTCCACTGCACTGTGCCCGAAATGCGCATCGCCATGGGCCCGGAGGAACAAGACAAGATTAGTTTTTTTGAGCCTTTCGCGCTCACAGGGAGATATTGTAAGTGATAATTCCTCAGAGTGACGCTTGGATAATCTTACCAGATGACAGATTGAAGACCAGAATGTACTTAGTAGTGCAATTTTGTCACTACCAGAGAATGCCAGAGAATGCATTCCTTCCCAAAACCAAGATCCAAGATCCAAGATTTGCACAGAAGTCTTGTGGAAAATCTTGGATTTGGGAACATCCTTTATCACTGTATCAATCCAAGATTTTAGCCAGGAGTCTTGTGGGAATCTTGGATCTTGGTTTTGATCAAGAATGCATTCTGAACGCATTCCTTCCAAAGTTATTTAACATGCCGGAACTTAAAATCTCTGGACTCTGGACAAATAAGCTACCTGCACAAATATATATATGTATATATATATAGGCGCCAAGAACAGACACAAAATATTGCAAATACCAGCAAAAGTGAGGTGAACATAGGTTTTGGGGGGGGGTACCATATATATATATATATCCTTCACAATACAAAGCCTCCCTGCCCAATGATGTTTTTGTCTGTCGCGGAGCCCTGACACTGCCTTGAAACCTCCGATCAACAGAACTGCGCGGCAGCTACTAGTAGCAAGGGCAACACTACTAGTAACAAGGGCATTACTACTAGTAGCTAGAAGCTACAAGTAACATGAGCATTCTTTTGGCCCATCTTCTGCAGCCCCGACAACGCACCCGGAACAAAGACACCCCCCAACCGCCCTGCAGCCGTAGCATTTCTGGATTGCGTGCCATTTTAGCCCCTGACGTCTCTCTTAGTTTCGCGCCCACGATAATGCACACACCAATTATGCCAATTGCAACTTCATTTGAGTCAGAACTCTCCCTTTAAAGCTTCCTTTGATCAATGAATCGGTCTTTCAAGAAAGGTTAGGTTGGAGCCCAGAACCTTTGAAAAGGACACTCGAATGGTAGCATGCATGGCCAACTTGGCCCTGAAGGGAAGCAGCTTCAGTCAATTTTGCCCTGGCCCTAGGCAAAATTTGTTGCACTACAGCCCGCATTTCCATAGACAGCACAAGGATTGGGAAAGCATTGCGTGATCTCTGATGATCTCCAGTGCGCCATGATGGATCTATGTGCCCCTAGTAATACAAATTTCAACTAGGCCATCAAATCGCGAACCTGACCATCATGGCTTGACACGAACCACATCCGTCACATCCCACCTTGACGGAGTGAAGGAGCGCGTATCGCTCCGAGGCCAACATGGCTTCCTGGACATCCTCATCACGCTTTAGCTCCTGGGCAAGGGGTTTGGAATTGGCTTTGTCTTTCTTTTGGGCCCGGTCAATAGCAAGGACGCTACCAGGGACTCCTGGCATCGCTACTAGGAGCAAGGACGCTACTAGGGCTACTAGGGGCTGGAAAATACAATGGTGCAAAGGGAACTATGATTTCTGGGGCGGGCAGGAGGCGCTGCGCCGCCCCCTCCTGCCTTTCCGTAGGAAAAACGCCAGCCAAGCCAACTCAAGCCAGCCAAGCCATCGAGGGGGACTTGGTTGCTGTGAGTGGTAGTTGTTTTGAACCTCTGTTTATTTTGTTGGATGCTCAAAAGGTGATCTCAAGCAGTCCCAGAATGTCTGAGAAAATGTCGGGTGGCATTGGGGTGCCCAAAAGCGGGTCTGATTCGCCAAGCAGCATGAGAAGGCAACATATTGGATAAGCTTACACAACAAATTCTCCAGAGACTCTGAAGCTGCATGCTCAAGGTCTTTTTCACCTTGCAGGTTCAGTGATCATGTCCTTTTTGACTGTGTTTGTTCTACAAAATAATCATGCTTGGGCATTGTCTGTTCCTGTCAATTGGCGGGTTTGTCGGGATACAAGAGTTGTTGGTTTCTTGGCTTTGCCATACTGATTGTGCTGTTGAACTTGATTGGTCGAGATTTGAGAGGTAGTGGTGGTAGTGCTGTAACCTGTGGTGTGGTGATCTCTGACGTGGGCAGTGAACGATAGACCCGGTGGTGATGTGTTTTGTGATGTAGTGAAGTGTAAAGTGGGGTGTGTTAGGTGGTGGTGTGGTGTGGTGGTTTATCATGTGGTGGAGTGTTAGGCGGCAATCCGTGTTGCCGTGCAGTGAAAGAAATTTTTGCTGTTTGATACCTGTCGTTCCAGCCTCTCCTTTTTCGATACTTTTCTCTAGATATCTTCACTTGTCGACTGTTCTCTAAAATGCCCTACTTTTGGAAACATTTCTGTAGGAATCTCCATCTAATTTTATGACATTTAGTCTAGAAGCGTCTACTTCTCCTGAAATATCTCCTAATTCGTAATTTCCCCCAATCCTCTACTCTTCGAGACTCTTCTCCACAAACCTCTACCTTTCAAGATGTGACTGTAGAAAGCGCTACTTTTTGACACTGGGCCCTAGAAGTTACTGTTTTTGTTGATTCTTCTTGACTTTCTAGAGGTTCAACACTTTCCTCTGCTTTCGAGGCTTTCAACCTTGTCAGTACTGTTCTCCAAAAGCCTCTACCAGTCAAAGTTTTTTGGAAATCTACATTTAAATACCTATATATATATATATAGCTCATATAGCATTTCCATACCAACAACCTCTGCCAACCTTCCACAGCCCATTGAAGTGGGTTCTGAATCCCCTGATTCCGTTCCTTGCAGATCATACACTCACACAATTCCTGAAGAGAAAATTGCACCATGCAAAAGTCTTGCAGCGCATTTGGATGCATTACGCAATGCACCCGTCCCTTCATTGCACAAATAAAAGCTCGGTCTCCGCCTCTGCTGTGCATTACATTGCCGTCAGAACTCTTTGTTAGGTGTTGCTATCATGACCGCACTTTTACGTCGCTTTGCAAGGGCCGGACTGTGAATTGATTTCACCAGCTCACACTGGCAGAGGAGTTCAGGCTCTTCAAAAATATTCAGCTTTGGGGCACAAGGGCCTTTGGAAAAAAGGGCCATTCGCAGGTGCCAAGATTCTTGTGAATCGGCCCTACGGGGTTGCTTTTCCCCGTCTATTGTGGAAGCTTGACAGCTGAATTCAAGTACATTCTTGTCTGCTCTGAAGGTGTTCCATAGTGAGGACAGGCACAATTAGTCCCCAAACCCAGCAAACCCCACCCTGTGCAATTATTAACACCAGAACCTTTTGTGCATCTATCATGCCACACGGACGTGATGATTGCTTTGTGTAAAAAGTCCTCCGACACATTCTGAAAGGCCTGCAACTTTGCAGCGTGAAAGCTAGACTTTGACTGCACGGCACGAAAAAAGAGAAAGGTGCAGAATTGGCTGGCCTTGACGTTGCTCTCAATTGCTCGCAGCGCCACTGATTTGTTCGCTTGCACCTGTCATGAATCTCACGCACCGCAAACTTTCTGAAAAGTGCCGTCAGTATCGGTACCTCCTGTGGCAACAAGCCCAAAGTGATTCCATCCTCAGAAACTGCCTGTGCCAAGGTCCACACGAACCAAAATGTGTGGGAGTAAGTTGACTGCACAGATCTTCTGAGAAAAAAAAGGAACTTTCAGAGCGCGCTTCAATTCTTGACACAACAATTCCGTCATAGACTAGACCCCAAATAGCAAAAACATTTGTGGGTAGCACGCTGCACCAGCACCCAGGCTCCAAAGCACACACAGATACAAACACACACAGATACAAACACCTCGCAGCAGCACCCTGGAGCCGCACCCTGCAGCGGCACCACCACCCAACCTTTAAAGCGCACACAGACACCTTTTTCTAAACTTGAGGTAAGAACCCCAATAACTCTGGGTGGAAAATAGTACACATAAGACACATAAGCTATGTAAATCTCACCAATCCTGCATAGCAATGTCCAAGTCACGGCGAATCCTAAGTTGCACCGCTTCCAAAAGAACGATTGCAGTGCTTCTCTTGAGCTCCCTACTCCTGTGATGCATAGGATATTGCATGACCATCCTGAAGCACCAAGCCACACTTGGACTGCTCCAATCAAAATGATTTATATAACCAAACAAATCTAAATCCCAGGCCTGCTTGATCGCAGCTGCGACAATCGCCTGCACGTTGAGATTCATCAGCTCCCCAAAAGGCATACTTGAGTGTGACATTCCTGGCTATACTGTGGCTGCACTAGCCACACTCAGCGCGCCTTGTCAGCTTGCTGCGTCTGGTTCAAATAAACCAAAGCATGGCCGTCTGCCTGCAAAGCCTCGTGGCAATAGCTTGCTCCCTCTGCTCAGAACATAGCTTAGCTTGTCAAACTAGACGACAGGAACTTCTCACAAGTCACTGCTAGTAGCATTCTTGCAAGTAGTAGAGTGTCGAGAGCATCCAAAAAATAAATAGTCTTAAACAAAGGGACTGCGCAAACTCACCCCGCCAACCTGCCTCCTGAACGATTGCAGGATCCTTGCGGAGCTCTTCACTGACCATTGCCAGGGCTTGCCTCACCCAGAAGACGACCCAACAGCTTGTTTGATAAATGTTATCTATTAGAATCGCTCCTAGGGTGGAGGCCATCGCTACTAGGTTGGAGGCCATCGCTCCTAGGGTATCCTCTCCTATCTGTGCTCGGCTGTGAGGACCTGTTGGTGGCCACCGCCGCTTTCACGACATCCCTATCGTTCCTGCAGGCAGCCGTGACTTTGCAGTTGTAAGCTGAACCGCAGCACAGCTTGCTGTCAAGGTGTGCTTTAGATCCACAAGCCACAAACATAATGTCCTGAGCTCTGGTGATGCATAGCCCAAAGCTTGCCAGTTACTTTGGACAGCTTCGAACATGACCTCCTCAAAAGGAAAATTGTTGCGAGAGACTTGAAGCACTGGCTCGCTTTCTGCACTCTCGCATCGAATCAAGCCATATCAAAGTCATATCATATCTTGTCTGGCAAAAGTACACCAAAGCGCTTGTTAAAGCTCTAGTCTCTAGTCTTGTGCCGTATTTATTGGCTAAAGCATCCTGAAAGCATCACAGTAAAAATGGCTGCAATCCTTGCACTAAGCAATTGCTCTGCCGGCGTGTTTTGTTGTGGAACCCTGCAGCCTTTGGGTGTTCATGCTTTGTTCGTTTGGAACAAGGAACGCATGGATGCTCCCATGGACAAAGCTCGGCAACGACTGCATGTTCGCCTTGTCTGCGCGGAACTTCTCATCCGCAAACAGCAGAGCATAGCCAGTGCTTCGTACAGCCTGCACAGCAACTGCACAGCTACGTACACCAATTCGTGCTACCGACTGTTGCAGTAGTGAATTAGTGCTTGCTTCTGATCCATTGCCTCAAGTACAACTTCTCTATCGGCTCTAAGTGCAGCAGAAGCATAGCTCAAAGCGTAGCCATCCTGCAAATACGGATGGCGCTGTTTGAGCTGGCCATTGCACTCTGGTATGGTATACTCCAAGGCACCTGCTGGACAGCCTCCAGAACCACATCCCTGTCTTCCTCGGTCTGCTGCTGCGAATCGGCACCTTTTGGCAAACACGATTTGGTCTGAAAAGAAAACATGAGACACATGTTCTAGTAGCGTCCTTGCTCCTAGTAGCGATGCCAGGAGCCCCTAAATTGCAAATCTCCTCTGATCGAAACTCAAAACTGCTGGCTTGCAATTCGTAGAGGCCCTTTCTCGAGTTGTTCTACCAAATTATGAACCCCTCTCATCTCCCAAAGCCAGGCTGCGCGAAGCGCAACATCTGCAAAGACCATGGAGTGACCGTCCTCAATCTGTGGAGGCTTCTGCTTAAGTGGAACGAACCCCTCGCACCAAGTGCCATGTCGTCACGGGGACTTGTCAGTCCAGTCAGCACAAAATGTACCCTCTTCCAGGGAAGTCATGGAAAGAGCCACAAACCGACCTGTCCTGATGCACAGCCTCAAGGACTAACTCTTTTCTTGCCTGCCCAAGCAAACTCTCAAAGTATCATTCCCACAATCTTTCGAATATAGTAATAAGTATATAGTAATAAGTCGAGCAAATCTGGCGCCTTGCCTTCAAGGCCGGCGATGCATAGACAAGTGCATGCCCATCCTTTTGCAAAAAAGTGTATCCTCAAATGTCTCAAAGTTATTTCAGCTAAAGCACTTGGAATGGCTACAGCACTTAAACAGGCAGGGAAAGGCAGAGTTGGTCTCTAGGCAAAATGTCGAACTGCAAAAATGGCAGTCCGTGGTTGATTCTGCCATGATGCTGGAATAATCACTGTCAACATCACTGTCAACAATCCTGCCGCACTGCTTCCAAGACAATGTCTGCGTTATTTCGCAGTTCTTGGCATGCGAATTGCCTCAGGCAAATGATAAAAAGAAAAAGTCTGCCTTCTACTGACAGTGTAAAACAAGCCTCCAGAGGTAAGGGAATGTAGTCCAATCTCGTACAAGAATGTCGTTCTGTCTACTTCTGTTCTAGAATTGGGCATCCTGCAAGGCATGACCATCTTGGCGAACTGCTGCACGCACCACCTGCGCTTGTTTTGCATATACACCAAGGACTGCTAGAACACCAGAACCTCGCCAGTTCAAACGTGGTGACATTCTTGCAGGCTCCAAGCAGCACAGGATCCATGAGATGCATTTCACTTGCTATTTTCTGGCTGGAAGCGGACAATGAACGATCAGCGCAAACTCTATGCAACACTTGAAGTATTAAGGCATAACTTTGCGAATGCAATGTCATCTTTTGACTACAAACCGATTATCTTTGCACTTTGTTTTCTTCTTTCCTTCAACAGGCCACTGGCCCCAGGCTTTAAACTGGCCGGTTAGAATACGGCCAAATTTACAGCGTCAGAACTCCGTGGCCTGGCAACCTTAGAACCTACGGCTAAGCCAGCCAAGCTTCCACAAAACACCTGTCACCACACTCAAGCATAACCAAAACCAGGGCTGTCCAATCCTAAAGCCTTGCCTTCATTAATCTTCGTGATTGTTCCCTTTCAGAAATCTGCATACTAAAGGCTGCCACATATTGCTGTCAGGCGGGCTTTGATTCCTTGTCTCTCAGATGGGCATGTTTGGACCTCATCCGACAGAACCGGAAATAAAAAACGAGTCAAACTCTCTTTCCGCTGGCGGGGAAAGGCAATGTGGAAGGCAATCAGTATGCTCTTCGCATCTTGTCGCCCCGGTTCGGCTTTGTTGTGAGGTTCCAGCCAAAGAGTCCAGCAGCAATCGTAATACCACGTGAGTGATCGTACCTGCTTGCAAAGCACTACAGCTAAATCAGCAGTGATTTAAAAAAATATAACTGTCTATAATCAAAGAGTCTTCACTCTCGGAGAAAAAGCTAAAGCTGCAGTGTGCGCACGTGTTCCCCCAGAAGAAGCAGCACAACTTAGTTCACCAAGATTTGCAGTAGTTTTGGCTTTAACAAAACAGCAACAGAGGTCTGGGCAGAAGTCACGATCAAAGCCCACCAACCAAAGCCCATACCAGGATTCAGATCATTGTAGCCTTTGCGACCAACCAAAGTTCAAAGCTCCCTTCTGTTTGTCTTGTCTCACTTGGAACTGTCCTTTACGAAGGCTTCTTCTGCGTCCTTGGAGCACTACTAGCTACAACTAGCAACAACTTCTGCTTCTGGCTCCAGTTGGCTGCAGCCGCTACATCCGCTACACCGAAAAGAAGCCACGACAATGCCACGACATGCCTTCTGGATCAGGGTTGCGGATTCGGCTGCCCGGCCTGAGACGGTGACCCTTTGGGAACTGCACTTCTTTCAACTTCTTTCCTCCTTGTTACTAGTATCGATGCCCTTGTTACTAGTAGCTTCTAGCTACTAGTAGTGATGCCCTTGTCACTAGTAGCGATGCATTTCTTTCCTCTTCTTTCTCTGTCTCAAAGTCTTCTTGCAAAAGCGTTCCTCCTTCCTCTGTCTCCAAGGCATGCACACACCAAGACGGAAGTCATAATCACCACCAAGCTTCGGCCGGGTCATGCAGATGCTCCTGAAGCATGATTCCAAAGTCTTGCCAAACACACACACACACACACGGTTTCCTTGTCTCACACAAATCCACAATCCTGACAGCCATATTGTTGCCAGCAAGAGTCACGGGAGCTCGTGCTGCCTGCTATGCAAGGCAAAACTGATAGCAAAGCAAGCCATGTCCCCTATCCTACCAATGTTTGACTTAGCAAAGGGAAGAAACCAGCGTACAACAGTCCATGACTGCTGGCCTGCATGGCAGCACGTCCTGCACCACAAGTCAACAAATAGTTAAGGATGTCATGGATGCATCTGCAAAACATGATGCTGAAGCAGTTGAGCAGAAAGAATAGAAAGCCAGGAAGGCAAAAAGTTAGCGCAAATCGCCCGCTGCCTGCGGTGCGACTCAGCATCGTGAGGACCATGGCCTTAGTACGATTTTCTGAAATACTTGAAATTGCTCCTAGTAGCGTTCTTGTTACACCAGTAAGGCACTTGTTACTACTAGCGATGCACTTGTTTCTACTAGCAAACATTGTTACTACCGGTAAGGCACTTGTTACTACTAGCGATGCACTTGTTTCTACTAGCAAACATTGTTACTACCAGTAAGGCCCTTGTTACTACTAGCGATGCACTTATTTCTACTAGCAAACATTGTTGCTACCAGTAAGGCACTTGTTACTACTAGCGATGCACTTGTTTCTACTAGCAAATATTGTTACTACCAGTAAAGCACTTGTTACTACTAGCGATGCACTTGTTTCTACTAGCAAACATTGTTACTACCAGTAAGGCACGTGTTACTAGTAGCGATGCACTTGTTACTAATAGCTTCTTGTTACTAC